CAAACGTGTGAGCTTTATAAAATAGTTCACATTTCAAAACTCAACATCGAAATAGCATCGAGGACAGCCAACGTTTGAAATTTCAGATCACTACGTGGTATACTGTATTATTTCTTTCTATCCGATCCCCGTTTATTATAAGTTTTTATTGTTAATTATCTATAAAAACTGTCGGAAATCCAGAAAAAATGTTTCGAATAAAATTTACCACATCGGACACCATGCATCTCTGTAAGTACATACGAAGCGCGGCTGTGTGAAAGTATTGAGATATTTTTCACTAATCGAAAGAGCGTTTGTCTAGGGCTAAACCTTACAGCGGTTCTCAATTCAGTAACTCCCGATAACAAGGGTGGCAAAAGCTAACTGTAATTTAGCGTATTAGAGGCGAGTGCTTGTCCGTTATTAAATTGTCAAAAAAAAAATCCGAAATTTCATAGACAATGAATATTTTTCGGAGGATAGATCGCCCTGCGTAATATATTATGATATAGGGACACACTACCGATGCGAATCTAAAACTAAAACTCCGACAATCGCGTTCGCCGTTACAATATCGCGCGTAACAATACGACAGTCGCTCGCCTCCAGTAGACACTAACACCGTTATATACAATATCGCGCGGGTACGGCACTTTGTCGTCTCGGAGAGGGAGACAATGTGAATCGGAACCCCGAAAAAAAAAAAATATATATATCTATAGTAATGTTGTACTATACTGCAATAGCTGCGAAACTTTTTGTGCGCTATAAATTCGGCCGATAACCACGCGCGTCAGACGTCTCGTAAATTATATACGCGCGCGCGCACGTACAATAACATAAAAATATCATATCGGAACCGTGTCTGATTATAAAAATCGCATACAGCGTGTTTCGCAGAAACAGTAACGCGAAATATTTCAGCCGGACCCGGATGGACTCGGACTGGAAATGGGGTTTTCTTTTTCTAGAAAAATCGCAGAGGTCAAAACTTTGTGTTTGTTTCGAAAACAATTACACTTGCGGTACACGCACGTACAATAAAATTTAGATTTTCCTGTAATGGAAACTATTTATATTCTTATCACTACGTTAAAAAATTCCAGTTTTTTAATCAATTTTGACTAATAATATTATTTTCTGTCCCGAAAATTGTAAGTATATTAAAAATAATAATTATAACAATTAATTTCATAATTTCCTAAACTCATTTCCGTTAAAATAATTTACAATTTAAAAAAAACTATTTGAGAATTGTCTGAGAATTATTCAAGCATACTTTACAAACAGTATATTGTACACTACATCGTATTTATAGGAACAATGCAAATTACCAAATCAACACGAGTATCTATATTCTTTAAACATTATAATAAAGTTATACAATATGCGTTTTTTTAATATGTACACAAGGTATCCCACAGAGATTTACACATTTCAATATCATTGATGATAATAAAGAATCAAATTCTATTTTTTTCATACTATTTACGGGGATAATGACTACAAATATTTGTATATTCTTTATATTTTGATAAAACTCTTTTTAAAAAATAAATTATTTCATTGTATTTTGAACAATTTGAAGATAGCTATTTTATAGAGTTTATTATTTTTCTGAACATTTTGATGGATCAACTTTTTGTTTTCATTAAATCTGTGATTTTTAATAATTTAATCAGAGAAAGAAAGTGTAATCAATAACTAGCCATAACAATTATAATAATTAAACAGAAAATACGTATTTTACAGCCTACAGCATATGTATAGATACTTTTCTCTGAACTCTAAAAAATTGTTAGAAATCGCAAATGTTATGAAAATAAAGAAACATCAACATTTTCAGAAGAATAAACTCCATAAAATGGCTATCTTCAAATTTTTTAATTTTTCAAAAACAATAAAATAAAAAGTTTTTTTGGAGTTTTTTAATAAAACATAAAAAAATAAATTCAAATATAAATATTTACACACCTTATCCCTGCAAGTAACACAATAAATAATAAACAGGAAATAGTGTAATAAGTTTATCATGGGACATTCTGTGTAGTACAAGTTAAAGAAAACCTATTACCTATATCAAACCTATACCAATGTACATAAATCAACACAATGTCTGCACATTATTTAGTAACCTACCAAAAAAAAAAAAAAAAAAAAAATGAAAGATAGACATCTTGATGATGATGATGATGATCTTGTCCCATGATTAAGACAAATGTAAACAAATTAACGGCGATGATTATCATTTAGCTGAATTAAGCTTATTTAATTGGGGGGAGGGGGGGATGGAGATCCAAAACCTTCTTAACTTTAATTATAGTATTAAGAAAAAAAACAACGGAAGGGGAGTACAACACCCAAAACCACACCCTGACTTTACCACTGTATGTGCAGTGTTTTTGAAATTAAAGAAAAGTAGGTAAGTTAAATTAGCATCATTTTAATTAATTTATACTACTAATATGTAGTATAAAATAAATATTTTAAAATTATATAATTTTAATTTTTTTTTTTTTTTTTTTTTTTGGTAAAACTTTGTTAATCATTTGCCTGTTTTCATCCGTAAAATAATGTATATTTAATGGCTACGTCATATATATTTATCATCAACAAGCTTATATCGCAATTTATGTTGTTAATGAAATGAACCAAAACTAATGTATTTAATTAATGTATTCCTGAAAAGTACAGAAGTACACTAGTTGTTACATTTGAAGCTAAGTTATTTAAGCACATTTACCCTCACGGATAATATGATTTAACAAACGTGTATATATTTGTTAACATTTTAATTAAGGAAGGTGCACTCAATAAAGGTATGTATACTATTTTATAACAAAAATCAATTGTGTTTATTCGCCCATATGGGTAGGTGCTTTTCAATATCTAGCGTTTACATGTTTTTCAATGTCTACTACTATATGCACGGCACCGGCTTTATCTATAGATAAATGAATTATACTGTATTGATTACAAATTCAAAATGCATTACACGACCGTCATATTTATGAACATATTTTACGTGGAGTTTTGCTCCGTATATTAACAATTAATTAATTATAATTTACCGACTATTTGACGCTATTTTAGGATTAATATTATTTGTACAATTCATTCACGTAGAACTTAGGTAGGTAATTAAATTATTATTGAAGTAAGATATGTAACGCTACACAAAATACCTAGTGATACATTTATATCATCATTAAACATAAATATGAAAAAGAGACCGAATGAAGCTTGAAGAAGTTTGTTTGATTCGACAAAATATAGAATCGATGTCTAAGTGGGTATGAATTTAAACAATTTGCTTAATACAAAATGTTTAACTTTTATTTATATTAAATGAGATTATGCACGTTATTTATAAAGATAACATTTAAATGATTTAAAATTATAAATAAAAACTTGCTAAGTTCAAAATTTAGTAGTAAACAACTATTTATTTTTATAATTTAAACTTGGCACTCACTTAGATATAAGTAAATCCTTTTTTTTTGGGGGGGGGGGGCAAAACAGAGAAACGTCTTCACGCCAAAACTGGCCTTTATTTTACATTAATATTATTCCTATTCCTATTCCTGTGGTTCCTATTCGTGATATCCTATACCTAAGCAATGGGTATTTTAAATTTTCAGGAATACATTTAGATTCTTGAGCTTGTTGATGGCAAATAGATATAACATAATAACGAGTTCACATTTATTTTGCGGATAAATATAAGCCAATAATGAAACGGATTTTACATCATTCTCTAAAATAATTATTCTGATAATATTATTTTAACGTGGAAAAAATATTATGTAATATAAATAATTAAAATGCGCTAAATTAACTCACTTTTAATTGAGTTTATTTTAAATACATGCATTCCTAATTGTTGAAATAATTAAATATAGTTTTGAATTCATGGGCATGCCAAATAGAAACCATCACCATTAATTTGTTCACATTTTTAAAATGACATAAAATACAATTCTTTTTCATATAATATTTTCGTTATTTCCAGGCACTCCAATGGTTACATATGTATCGACGAATCTAGAAATAATTGGTGGAAAATGAAACTAGTCATTATGTATGACAATTGACAGTAATTATTAATAATCTATTCATTATTTGCCGCTGCTCACTTAACGTTTTGTGTTAATACACAAACTGATCTTATAATATATACCTAGATTTAAATTACCTTCCATTGCAGAACTCAAAACTAAAATAAAAAGTAAATTAAGTTACCCATTTTAATAAAAGAGTAAGAATTTGTTAAAAAAAATGATTGACTATTTAAAAATAAGTGATTTAAATTTAAAATTAACAAATTCAAATTCTTTGCGTAATTGGGTACCTACCTAACTGATATTATATTTAATATCAAATTAATAATGCCACTAAATTTATTAATGTAACTCTTTTAGAAGTGTTAGGTTGGAGAAACTGTTATAAAAAACCGAAAATTAAGTGAATCCATTTTCACAAAGATGGAGGGAAAGTCAAACCTATAGACTATCAAAAATTACCTATAATTAGCTAGGTACCTATAACTAACTATACCTATCGACTACCGAAAAGGTTAGGTTTTTACCTGTTATCCCGACGTGATTTTGCTAAATAATCGGAATTTATTTAGTTCGCATTCAAATTGGTGAATGAAGTTAACTGTACTTTAAATAATACACAGGTTAAAATTTCCCTCTCTGTATGCTGAGTTAAGTACTGTATTTTATGTATTGAATACATCTGGTATAAATGGCTGAGGGCAACTGGTAAATTTGGTCGAGGGTAATTGTTACCTACATTTCGTTGAGAGCAACTGGTATATTTTATTTTAACGCCGAAAACGCTCACTGAAGGCAACTGATCAATACCCGAAAAATATGGTACTACATGATAGTAAAAAATTAAATGTTTAAAAAAATGGTCTAATTATTTTAAATGAGTTTAATGACTATTTCAGATCTACTTACGAATTAAATTGAGAAATCAACAAAATATAATCCAGTAAGTTTGTAAATTTATTTGGAAGCAGCAATGATTTGCTTCATACGGTTTAATGCACTGCCTGCTTTAAACCAATCAATCTGTTGTTCATTAAATGTATGGTTCAACATGATTTCATCTTTACTTCCATTGGTGTGAGATAAGATGCACTTCAATGGCTTACCGGGGACAAATTTGTTTAGTTCTACCAAAGATACTTTATCAGTTGGTTGAACTTTATCATAATCCTGAGCTTTTGCAAACGTAAGAGCTAATACTCCTTGTTTCTTCAAATTTGTTTCATGGATACGTGCAAAAGACTTGACAATAATTGCAACTCCTCCCAAATGACGTGGTTCTAAAGCAGCATGTTCTCTGCTACTTCCCTCGCCGTAATTATCATCACCAAATACTACCCATGATACACCCCTTTCTTCATAATCCCTGGCTGTATCTGGTACTGCGCCCCACTCACCGGTTATTTGATTCTTTATCTTATTCATTTTATTATTTTCGGAATTAGTTGCGGTCAAGAACATATTATTGGATATATTGTCTAAATGACCTCTATATTTCAACCATAGTCCAGCACCAGAAATATGATCAGTAGTACATCTTCCTTTAATTTTAATAAGGATTGGTAGATTTTCTAAATCTTTTCCATTCCAAGCTTTGAAAGGTTCCAACAACTGAAGACGTTTGGAGTTTGGATCCACTACAACATTCACAGATGATCCATCGGCAGGTGGAGCTTGATAAGTATTTTGACCAGGATCAAATCCTATAGCGGGTAGTTCAGTGCCAAAGGGATTGTTCAATTTAAATTCTTTACCATCAGATCCCTTAATTGAATCAACTGTAGGGTCAAAGTTTAAGCTACCTTCAATGGCCAATGCGGTAGTCAGCTCAGGGGATGTGACAAATGCATGAGTCGCTGGATTAGCATCATTTCGTCCAGTGAAATTCCTATTGTATGAACTGACAATTGTATTTTTTTCACCTTTTTTGACATCTTTACGATTCCATTGACCAATGCAAGGACCACACGCATTAGCTAATACAGTACCGCCAAAATCTCTCAATATTTGTGCAATCCCATCTCTTTCAATTGTTGCCCTGATTTGTTCAGATCCAGGCGTTACATTAAATGGAATTTTTGATTTGCGTCCATGAGCTAAGGCTTCTTTTGCTATAGAAGCACACCTTGACATGTCTTCATAACTTGAGTTAGTGCAACTTCCAATTAGACAAACTTTGATTTCAAGAGGCCAATTATTTTTTGTGGCGTTGTCACCAAGTTTTGAAATAGGATGAGAGAGATCGGGTGTGAAAGGTCCATTGACATGAGGTTCCAATGTGTTTAAATCAAGTTCGATTAACTGATCATAGTTGCTGCCTTAAGTTCCCATGGAATGTCAGCCATAACATCAACAGCATCCGCCCCACCAACTCCAATACATAAACCGCCGAGACCACCACCATTAGGTGTATGAGAGTCAGTACCAATCATTAATAATCCAGGAAAAGCGTAGTTTTCCAAAATAATTTGGTGAATGATGCCCGAACCTGGCTTCCAAAAACCAACTCCGTATTTAGCGGCAGCCGTTTGCAAAAATTCATATACTTCTTGGTTAATTTCTTTGGCTTTTTTCAAGTCTTCTTCTCCACCACTTTGAGCTACAATTAAGTGGTCACAGTGAATGGTGGATGGAACCATGACTTTTGATAAACCAGATGAAATAAATTGTAACATAGCCATTTGAGCCGTAGCATCTTGCATAGCCACGCGGTCAGGTCTTAATCTTAAATAAGACTCGCCGCGTTTGAGTTCTTGGTTCTCGGGATCATCCAAGTGAGAGTAAAGTACTTTTTCTGTTAACGACAGTGGCTTTCCTATTCTATCGGCAACGATTTTAATACGACTCTGCAAACATTCATATGGCAAAGCTACGGTGTCTAAGTTGCTCATGGAAACTTGAAAGCCTTTAGATGCAGCAGACGACGTGTGAAAACATCTTTGCTGTATCTTATCAAATACTGATTTTGCCCACGGCAGTTTTGATTTAAGTACTCTGAAGAAAGACATAATGTTGAATCTACGTTAAGTATTTAATTGACAAGTAACTACAATAATAGTTTTAACACATCAAATAAATATAAAATAGAAATGACTGAATTAACAATAATATATTTTTTCATCGAAAGTAGAATGTTTTTTTCACGATGGAAACAACTATCTGTGTGTTACGAAAATTTCAAATGGCTTACATATTATTTGTTTTAATTCTAAATGATGATTTATATTACTATAATAAAAATTATCATTCAATCGATTTATATTATATGTGTGTTGATCAACCGTATAAATACACATTCTTCTTAGTTTTTGTAATATTATTAACAATAATTCATTCCGAATCAAACAATATTTAAATTTAAAAAAAAAAAAAAACACATTTTCGTGAAGATATTAAATTTCAAACTAAAAGTAGATAAAGTCGATGTAGAAATGATCGCCTATAGATATGCGGTTTGTGTTATCATGCAGAGGTATACAAATTACAGAATTATCGATATAATACGAATTAATAAAGGTCACTAGAACATCGAGATTTGTTTGATAAAATAATCGGCAGACTTGCATTTACGTATATAGGTGAGTAGATAAATGTTCAGAGCCAGGCAATGATAGGAGCTATTTTGTATATAGTAATAAAAAAATAGCATTTCAAAATGAAGCACATCGAAATTTTCATATAATTTTGTTTCATAAAAATCAAATCAGAATTATTAAATAGTTAAACAATTAAAGTCAGTTATGATAAATTACATAAAGTTCATTAAAATCTAAACATCTTAAAGAGAATTATAATGTGTTAAAAATTATTCCACTCGAATAAAAATTATACGTAATTCACTATTGCAATATCACAATACAGATGATTCTGGCTCACAAAAAGCTAGAGAAAGTATATAAAGTGTACAAATTAAAGACTAATTCATTAAGTTTTATTGGTCGAAAATACCTGATACAAGTATTTATTAGCTAGTAGACATTTGATCCTAATTTTTGTCTAATGCCCTTAAGTAGCAGCATTGTCTAGGCGCCCCAACAATATTTTTAAAGTAAAACTTTAAACATCATAAACACAAACGTCTAAATTACCGAAATAAAAAAAATGAACTATAAGAATCGGTCTAGCATAAACGTGCATTGACATTCTTTAGGGAAATATATTCTCCATTCCACATATTTTGGTAAAAATACATAATTGCATACGTTGACGTATGTTTGCGAACGAATATGCGACGTTGCGATTACCCCGAAAATTCGTCACATTATAAAAGACGATAAAAAATAAACAGTAATCGGTTTAGATTTATGTATATCCGCTTTATAAGAAAGTGATAGTATTTTCCTTAAAGACCGAAGAGAGACAAATTTGTTTGTCCTACAATGAGACTGTATAAGGCAACACTGTGTTAATTAAGTACCCATTGCAATAAACTGCATTGGGCGTGAATGAAAGGAAATCGGAATTTTTGTAAATTTTGATTCGACACTATTGACGGGCGTGTCTTGTATACGGTATAAGGTATAGTATAAGCTAGTATAATGAAATAATTTAATATCCCGAACGCAATCGACTCGAAGAATCAGCGAATAAAAGATTCAAAAAGAAAAAAATATCGAATTAACGCAATTTCCAAAGTATATGTACGTAATATAACTGTAAATTCAATTGCTCACGGTTTTCGCTTCTGCCGGTCTAATCATTCTTAAAATCGTGTTCGTAAATTGAAACTCGGCGAAAAGTTTTCGATACATTACTTCGCGTATAACTCGACTTCGTATACCTTAATCCGTTTTAATTCGGAATATTCTAAAGTTTGTTGTGAACAACTAGTACCACTATACTAATAATATATACACCATCTGTTCGGAATTCCCATTTCAACAATTAGGTCCGTACTTGTTTCCTTCCCGGTGGTCATTTTATTCGCTCTTGACCTCTTACGGCACTTTAGTTCTCTTTCTCTCTCGGACCCATTTGATACAGCAAACTTCTGAATAGTACATAAAATACAACAATATATATATATATATATATATATATATATATATACCTAAAATTCGTATAATTATTGTAATTAATTTTGTGGCTACAATAACAATTAGCAAAATTTTCAATTTATAATTATCGAAAAATGTTTAACTGAACTCAGAATCGTTTTCCGCTCGCAGTGGTTTATTGTTGCTTATACAACGAATGTACACATAGGAAAGAGAAGGACGACGTACTGGTGACAGGTTAAGTATGTATACTAAATGGCATGTTGTCATTTCCTGACGCTTAAAACTGTCAAATCTATTGTCAGCGTCTTTTTTTTTCAAGGACCACCCTAAAGGTGGTCCTGTTATTGGGAGTATTGGGAAGGGAATGATGCACGAATTAATAAACTTAATGTGATTTTCTAATATCTTGACGCTGTTGTTCGAAATTGTCATGATCGTAATTTTTTAGGGTACAACTCAATTTCACATATTTGTCTTTTTTGGCAATACGATTGCGTATAAAATATTGCGTAATATTGTCAAAAGTGTCTACCATAAATCTAATAAATATAAAGAGAACATCTACATAGTAATAAAATAATAAATAGGTACACACAGAAAATCGACTGTTTTAGATTCTGAGTTTATTGAAAAATGTATTGGTTTTATAAGTTATATAAGTATTTATTATTTTTTTTTTTTATGCTAACACTTTCTGCCAGAAAGCTCACTCCGATTATCAACCATAGCACATTTTCTAAAAGGAAATATTTTCTGGACGATTAGGTCACTTTTTAAAATTCTCGTTAATTTTCGAGATAATAAAGAAAAACTAGTTCTTTAGGTTAAAAAAGATTGAAAGATTAAAAATAAGGTTGTCATTAGCAACCATTTTTATTTGAATATTGTTATTATTATGTTTTTATTATTTTAATTTTTTTAAGTAATCATTATTGTCACGGAAATGCGCATTTATATCATTTTACTATCAACTGAACTCCACTCAGAATCGTTTTTTCGTTTCCAAAAATGTATCGTTGCTTACAGATACATATTAAATTTCCGTCTGTATCCTACCTTTCCAACTACCACCAACAACAGTGGCTGTACCCACGTGCTAAGGATGGACTCGTGTTTTAATATTATAATATAAGTAAAATCATCGTTAATAAATACATTTCTTTAAAATGCCTAAATTTTAATTCCTTTACATTTATATAACTTTTCCTTTTTTTGGTTTTTAGAAGTTCAATAGAATTTTCCATGTAACTAAATGTCGATACACAATATATATATATATATATGAGTGACGTTCAACGACGAATTGAAAGACACAAAAAACACCTATATAATATTTAAAATAACGATATTTTCAGTATAAGATATAATATTTGATATTGTATTGATATCGTTAACAATAAACGTTTATGGAAAAACGCAAAGTATTTATAAATTATTTTTAGTTCACTCGTGTGGTATAAGCCGGTACGGAAATTGACAACAACGATTAAAACTTCGTACGCAATCGTTTAGTTAAAAGTCAGACAACGTCGTACTCATTTGTGTCTAATCAATTTTTTCCATGCGGGAGATAAAAAGAGAGAGGCGTTGGAGTAATGAACGAAGAAAGAATATACTTTATAAGGTAGTGGTAAAATTTCATTATACTCAAATCTGCCGTGAACACAATTGTATAGGTATTAGGAGGGGGTAAGGTGATAGAGTAAGGATGGATAACAGAGTAAATATACTCTATAGGGTAGTATAAGTTCGTGACGCTTAACACCGAAATTAGAATCCTACGCATATTTTCAGAGAAGTTTGACTTCTACGATAATACGAATGAAGAATGTGGTTAGGTCATAGAGGGTTCCGAGTAAATTCAAATCGCACAAATGTTCAGAAAATGTTTTCATTAATTTTTTCCTCATAGTAATAGGGGTTTCTGAATGTTAGGTATTTAACTTGAATTAAAGATTTAAAAGACGCATATTTAAATAATGCAGAATGTTACGATAAAATGTCATTAATATTTGTTGAACTAGAATGAAATATCTCTGTAACATTAAATGCATGAAGATTCAAATATTCATAAAACATTTCGCTGAACTTAATTTGTTTTCTAGAAACGCGGTGTATTCTTTCTTAAAGAGGTTTCCATAGAACAGTTCGGTGTAGAATCACTAAAATTAAAAATCATAGTACGTGTAAAATTTCAAATATAAGATAACTAGTATAGGTAATACGGTAATTTGCTATTTTCATAGATATTTGACATTTATTAATTTTTTGTATATTTAAAAAATCGCAAATTCTAGAGGTTGAAGCGTTTTATTTACTGAGGATGTAAAATTATATAAAAATTCCACTTAACATGGTTTTAACGAGTTTACCAAATTGATTTTTTGGAATGCACTTTTAACTCGACATAATTAATTAATAAAAACAATATTAACTTTTGCTACACGAACTCATTAACACTGCATTTTTTTCCCCCAAAAAACTTAACATAAGTGAGTTGTTATTATTCATGAACTTCTGACACGGGACTAACTAATTAACTGACTATTCGTTAACCTCTAGCCTTGATGATTCGATTTTTCTTGTTTAGTGTGTCTATTCTGTTATTGTGGTAATTCGAGTGTAAAATCAATAACATTAAATTGCAAAATACCCGCCGACTAAACAATGCAGGTATATTTTGCTAATTTATATTCCCCTCGGCTAAAGTTAATTGCCCGAAACAATCACTTTGCGGCAATCGTGGCCGACTAACACCAGAAATCGTTTTCTAAACCGTTTTGAACGTGCGGCAGTATATTCCAGAGCTATATACGTTTAGAAAACATTTATTACCTCTGCCGAACCTTTCGTCTCCCGGAGTATTTTATGTACGCGTAAGTATATATACGCGCGTCCGTGTGTGTGTGTGTGTGTGTGTGTGTGTGTGTGTGTGTGTGTGTGTGCGTGTGTGTGTATGGGTTTGCGCGGACAAAGAGAAATTGATATCGTTTCCAAAAGTGATTGCT